AAGGTGCGGAGGTGTGCGGTGAACACCCTAATATAATTTGCAAAATGTTAAATAACATAGGTACAAAAATTTATTAAGTGTCTTTACATCAAGAATTATTATTATTTATTACATTTCCATATAAATATATATTTTTAAAGTTTTAGCAAAAACAATTAAATATAATTGTCTATGAAAACTCAATTAATTTGCTTCTGTTAGCCGCTATACTTGTTAGTTGTGCTCATATATTTGCAGCTCAAATCACAGAACATTTCTATTATATTTCGTCTCTCCCCTTTGTGTGCAAAGAAGTTGGCCACACATTCATACGTTGCATATGAACAAAATAATGTGCGTGTGCTCCCGTTCCATAATATCAGAAATAGAGATTTATATAGTGGAATTGTTATGGAGAGTAATTTTCTGTTCTATTCGAATAATCAACTGCATGCATACGAATCCAACATGATGATTTGCCAAAGTGATTGCATGAGCGGCTGAAGTTTGCAGCTCATCTCACCATACATTTCTATCACATTTCGTCTCTCCCCTTTTAACAGCAGCACCCACGAATTTCTGTTCTTATTGTGCGGGGTACTTGTGCGCACATTTATACGTTGCAAGTGGTTTCGATTTTGTTTGATCACTGCACAAACATGTATGTTTCTAAGTACAAACTCTTTTGTTTGAAAAAATTTGGTTTGATGTTACGAGAATTATGTGAAAAGTTTTGTTTATTCCATATTGATATAATATTAAACTTGTATATAAATTATTAATTTAATTTGTTTAATATGTTATTTTGTTACTGAATTGTTAATATAATATTGCGCGAATATATTGTTGCCTTACATAATATAGTTATTATTAATAAAAGATCTCATATATTTTAATATAAGTGGTACATGTAAAAACAACATTAAAGAAGGGCCGCACACCCTTCCAGATAGGGCACGCGTCGTCACTGACTTACATATATAATCATATCTCTTGATCTTAATACATTCTAATAAAAATACGATAAAAATCTTAAGTCAACACTAAAAATGTCTAATGCAGATATATCGCTACTTTCATTTAACTAGCTCTAATGGGTATAATCTTAGTAGTGTACTTTAAACCCCATTAAATCTGACAAGGGTTGATGAGTATGGACGCGTGTTTAATCATCGTCGTATGCTGATAGTTCAATTATAGTAGTTTATGTGAATAGGTATGATCGAATGTGTGAGTGCGAATAAAATGGTCAAATACATATAACACACTAGTTTGGTTTATTATTACATATCATTCGTTATGTTATTCCATCTATTTAGGTCACCATCTGGGTATTATTTGGAGAATTCACCGGTGATGAGTATGTTTGCCTTGCGCCACCCGCCCGGAGTTTTAAATCTAATACTATAAATAACTATGGATATGGATATAAATACTATGATACCTATGGATATCAGGGCTTTAAAGAATAGAGGGTTAGGACTCAAATATACTACCATATCAACTCTAAAAATGTTTAATGTAGATATATCGCTACATTTATTAAACGAGGTCTAAATGTAAATACAGTCAAACTTCCATAATTCGAATTTTCATAACTCGAATTTTCTATAAGTCGAACCAAAAATAGTGCACCAAGGTTTTAGAGAGCAAATTACATACAATTCTGCTTTTATAACTCAAACTTCTATAACTCGAATTTCTCTGTAACTGAAACAAAAATTTTATTCCGTACCGATAAGAATATGGGAGAGTGCATTCCATAAGTCGATTTTTCTTTTAAGTATAAATGCATTGTGCTGTTAGGGGAAGTCCCTTTTTCCAAGCCAAATGTTTAATTTTTTCTTTCTTACGTTGCTTCTTTGTGCAAATGCCAGTCGCTGGCAGTTTGGTTTAAAGTAAATAAAATAACTTCTAATGCTTCTCTTGACGATTATATTAAGCTTGACAATAAAATTTGTACATCAAGGTTTCCTATAGATGACGATTAATTTTGAATGTTATAGCTCTGAGTAAGTGGATCCGATTCTAAGCCGAACGGAAAGTAATGATGAGGGTTCGGAGCATGAAATTGTTTATTAGCCTTTCAAAAGTGGAATAGAAGACTCATTCAAAATTTTGAATTTCTATTTACAAAGGAATGATACTCCAAGTGATGATCTCTATAAGGTTTGGAATAAGTTGGAATTTTTTTTACTAAAAATAAGAAAAAAAAATTAAAATCGCAAACACTAATTTCTAATTATTTTACTTCACTATAACTTCTGTGGTATATTTGATTTTAAATAAATAAATAAATATCTTAAAAAATAATTCTAGTTTTTTTCACAAAAAAAAAAAATTTAAGAAATTCTCTAACTCGAAGTCCCCATAAGTCGAACCTTTTTTTTGCAAAATTGGACGTGTACTCAATACAGGTATCAATATAATGCACCGATAGACACCCCATTCCAAGGAATTACCACCAGTATAAATTAAAGTATGTGTATAACATATGTGCAAGGAGGGAACAGAGATCAACATCTCTGTTGATATTTGAGTTAGAGTACTCGGTGTGAAAGGGTTAATCTACTCCGAATGAACATAAGTAAATGTAATCATGCTTCCCATGTAAGTTTGGTTTTAACCACAGCCATCACAACACTACCAACCCTACTTAGACAGGAAAGCCGAAACTGCGAATGCTAACCCCCGTGATACCAGACACACAAGTCCAGTCGTATGCTGCAAGTGAAAATTCACTCACCACTATTTACACTCCAAACAGTGTCGGATTTTAGTCACTGCTTCCGACAGGCATGCCTTATCTCGGAAGTATTCTAACCCCTTTCCCGTGGGGAAAGCTATACCGGTATACAGGGTAATAAGCTATTATAGTCATCAATAATAAAAACGGACATAAGTATTAACTGTAGTGTTTAGCTCTAAGTTAGGCATAGATTAGTATAAGACACTGTTCTAAAGAAAACAAAACTTTTAACTATCTTCATGATGCATAATGTATAACCTTCACAAATATAATACCACGCTTAGATAAATATATTCTATATTTTAAGTTATATCTAAGACCAAACAAACAACAACCTATTGAGTAAGTAATTTTAATAAAGAACTCGCAAGGGCAAGCAAGTATTATTAGCAAGTGCAGTGTTATTAACTATTATTATTGTTATATAGTGGGATGCAAGGGGTAGAAGTGTATGCCTCAATAGAGGAGTGATGCGAATACAAGGTCTAGCCTCCTCAACATCGAACCTCACCTACAAGTGGTGCATCCTGTTCTCTCATACAAGACTCTGGCGATCCAGTAGAGGAGAAATTCTGTCCCTAACAAACCGATTTTATCCCCAAATTTGTAGGGGATCTTGTCCTCCAGATTGGCGGTTGATCGCAAGGTCAGCAGCCTCACATTGGACTGTAATGAACAGTAGTGCCAAATAAAAGGAAGATTGTTATATAGTATAATATATAATAAATAAAAATTATATAAAATGTAACTGAATAAAATGTACACTAAAAAAAAAATAAATAAATATAAAATATAACTAAATAATTATACATTGAAAATACAAAAAAACAAAAAAATAATAAATAATAATAATATTTATTTTATATCATATATTATATTACTTTCGTCATTATTTAAAATATTAAAATGAACTCTATTACTTTCAATTACTTTTTACATCAGACAATAGTAGAATATAATGGATATATTAAAAAAATGGATGTATTTATATAATTTAATGTCAGTTTTCTCATCATAATATAACAAAATGATATATATTAATTAATAAAACTTAAAAAAATAATAATTTATAGTTATACTGACGAATTATTAAATACAAGAATTATTTCCAAGACCACTGATGATGGGTCAGCCAAAAATTCAATTAATTAAAATAATATAAAAATAAAATTTTTGTTGTTGTATTTCACTACTGTTCGGAAAAAACCTATTTATACTGACGTTAATAATATTCTGATTACAATGTAGTAAAGTGATAAATAGTAATTAATAACACTTTTAACTTTAACTTCAACACTTTACAACTTAACTATAATTTTTTTTTTATTTAACAATAACAAAAACAATTATTTTATATATACATATTACAATAAATTATAAAATTAATTATAAATTTTTTTAAGGGGCCTCTGAATAAGAGGCGAGGACTTATTTACTAGATATTACTGCGCCTAAGTTGAATTAAATTACATATATACAAATTATTTATATAAATTTAAATTTTATTTCACTTAAAATATTTTAATTAATTAAATATAAATTTAATATTAATAAAATCATACCTTAAATTTGTATAAATTATAAAAATATTACTAAAAATATAAATTTATACTCGTTAAAATTAATTTTGAAAAAAATAATAAAATAAATATTCTATTTTTTTTTAACTAAGAATATATTATGTGGTTGCAAAAATTATTCAAAATATTTTTTATATTTATTTTATTACTTTTTTTTATTTATTTATTTTATTTTTTTTTTTTTTTTGTTTCTGTGAAAGAATGAAAGATAATAAATACTTGTTTTTATGATAATATCAGTTAAATGGGATTTACAGATAAACACATTTAAATCTTGAAAGACTGAAAGACTGAAAGACTGAACAAAAGAGTTACTTAAAAGAAAATATAAATCGAAAATGCTTTGAAATGCAAAATTTGTTATAGACAATAAAAAGGCGATATTTTAAAATTGAAATGAAATACGAGAAAAATATTCCGAAGAAATAAATTAGCCAAAGAGAAAGACAAATTGAAAAAGACAAGTTGCCGTGTTAAGAACGGGAACCAGTGGCCGGTGCGGCTGCTAGCGGAGCTGTTGAAGCTGCCGTTGTGACTACTTAAGTCTCAACCCGTTTTGAGTGCTACCAACTTACAGAAATCAGCTAAAATATGAACTCAGAACGTTGCTGATGCTGATACTGATGCTGATGCTATTGTTGGTGCCAGTGCTGGTGATGAAGCTGAAGCTGGAGCTGTTGCTGGTGCTGTTACTGCTGCTGATGTTGGAATTAATTAAACGCCTTTAAAACTCAATATTTAAAATATGTTCGGACAAATGCAGCAACAGTTTACATTTTAACATTTTAACATTTTCCATAAACCATACAATCATACAACCATACTAAGAAATATCTTAGTAGGTCTTTTAGTTAAAAATTTATTTTAACTTTTTTTTTTTTGTATTTATTATGTTTAACTTGTTTTAAGATTCTTTTGAGGCGTGCTAACTAAGGTCAGCGATAAAGTTTTGATGGCGTTAACATTTAATTAAAAATGTGATTTTGAAAAAAGTAGCAAGTAGCATTGTGGTCGAAACTGTAAAGCAGGCAATTTAGACGCACGACTAAGGCAGCGCAAGATATGAAACGAAAGACTTAAGGCACAAACTAGATTCTTCATTCAAAGAATCACAGAATCACTGTGAACGGGCAAACTCAAGGCGCCAACAGATGACAGTAAATTGAAGGGAAGGCGTACAATTTAAGCATCTTTATGTACTAAAAATTATGGCTAAAAATATGAGAACATAATAATTGGTAGTTTACGTGATAAAAGTTAAAAGAAGATGCAAAGGAAAAAAATTGCCATAATTAAGTGATAAACTTATCAATATAATGGAAGAGTATAAATATACACTTATATACATAACATACAATAGTTATTATATGCATGTAAATATATATAGAAATATGTATTTATGTATCAAAAATATAAGGCAAAGGCATTAGCTGTGCGCACTGCTCTTTTGCACTTCGTTCCAATATGGCTGCTCCAAAGAATTTTTTCGATGCTCTTGATATTCTGTATGGTTGTTGTGGCGCAATGACTTGAGATGTGCAAGTCACCTTTGGCTTGACTGCGTACCATGAGATTTGCTTCGCAAAAGGAATAACCAAACCTTAAAGAGTTTATTTTCTTTATTTTTATGCACATAGATGACGTTAACATTGCAGACTCTTTAAGAGTAATGTGATTTTTAGGCCAGCTCGTGAAACAACCGCACAATAAACTTGCAGTCATAAGACTCATATGCCACTTTGTGTTATATATATATATATTGTAGATATATTGTAGATATATTGTAGATAGATGTCTGTATATAAACGATTGCAGCACACAAATGCAATGCAACTGGTTTTGCTCTAAGCTTTCGTTGTGGAGGCAAGAGGCAAGGCGCATTCAACCTGTACATAAAAATTGAACTTTGATACTTGAAATATCATAGCCAAGTGGTATAGTTGTATGCAAACAAAACACAAAAGCATCTCATCAAGTTATACACATATAGAAATACATTATTTATATCCACTTATAGATCGACTTTCTTCTCTTTAAGATTTAGTTCAATAGAAATTCTTTATGGTGATCATGCGTCACGTAGTGCCTAACAAATGATGATTGCGCTTGCGCACCCACACGCTGATTTTCTTTGAACCTTTTTCACATCCCAACGAAATACTTTCTCACGATCTTCACAACTTCGCTGAACTAGGCTGTAAGTGAACCATTTAAGAAGAGAAAAGAATCAAGAATCTAAAAATATATTATTTTTAAGTAGAATTGTAATAAAATAAGTAAAATATTACGAAACCAACAGAAAAGTTAATTATTAATTTATGCCTCCGCGTCCGATTAAACAACTCATTTATTTTGTGAGTTAACTGAAGACCATGGTTCTTCCATGACCACACGTTCCACGCCACGTTCAAAACGTGGCATTGCAAATACTCATACTTACGCTAACAGCTAACAGTCCATTACCGAGGCGAGGAGGAATTATGCTTATTATTTTCACATTAATCTTCATGCAGCTTCAACTCACTCATCATCGTACTCGCATTGCAGTATTTTCCTCACACTTTAATAAAATAAAACTTTTGATTATTTTCTTATTTCATCTTATAAATATGATTTGTTGAGGCTGGCACTAAAACGAGTAGCTTACCAAGAAATCACCGCATGTAGCCACTGTGTTAATGTTCGCTAACACGGGCGCTGAGAGTTTCGGTTACTGCGGCTACTACTCATTTTGGTAGCAATAAGACTAATTTCCACTTATTTTGTGGAATTTCGTGAATGGGGTCAATGTCAAAGTTGAAGAAGCGAGTGTCTTAGGTAAGAAAATGCATATGAAATGATATTTTCGCATACGTCATAAGTCTTTTGACATCATTACATATATTTTTTAAATTATATTTTAACTAAGGTATTGTGTAATTTCATTTTGCATACAATTACTAACATAGGAATCAAGCACTGGTTGTATGGGATTGGTACATATAAATATATATATAAATCAAAATCAAAATAGAAAAAAATTTAAAACATGATTTTCGAATTTCCAGTACAAGGGAATATAGCGACCACATCAAATCCTTCATGCCATCAACTGACCCTAACCAAAACAAAAGACATTTAGGCAGAAAGCCAAAATGGCTCTCGTTGAGAATTTCCTAAAATGCAAAGAGGATTAATAATTTCAAGCCCGATTTCTTAATAATACAGTAATGCTACTTCTTGTTTTTTTTTATAAAACCTTAAATATCACTTACTACCGTTAATAGATTGGTTGGTTGTAGTGGCAGGCCATTAGATAACTTCCATGCACTTTAATTAGCGATTTTTAGCCATTTTGCTACTACATTCCTCTCAAGAATACCTAGTATAAAAGCGTAAAGACTAAATCCATCCCGTTGAATTTAAATAATTTAAAAGGTCTCTCGTCTTCATCGATGAATGGTCTGATAGACTGTCAAAGAAATATCTTCCTAAAAACCTACTTCTTCTGGACGCCAGAGCCGAGCATTCACAAAGAAAATATTTTATAGTTTATTTTTCCTGTGGATTTCCACAACCTCTGCAGTGAGGATTATAGACCAATGACCAGAAAGAACTACAGTAAAGCTTGTTGTGTTCACACGGTCTGTTTTGGTGAGTTCTGAGGATCTATTTTTATGATTGGTGGGCCATCTTAACTTCGAAGTTGCAAATGACTTAAGTGCTTTCCATCTGTTATTGGCAAGTTGAATAAAGTAGAGATAAGTACTTCTCTTAATGGCCTTTAGGATTATATAAAAAGAAACATATACAGGAAAGCACCAGAGCAGGCCAAACTGTGAACTTTCTCTTTCCTTTCGATGTTCCTATGTCCAAGAACCGAGATGAGGGTGATGTCACCCAACTGATTAACTCGTCGATTACCTCTCTACATTCCATTTAGTACCGTATTTTGGAACTTTTTTAATAAAAATTTTCTTTATTAAAAATAAAGTTTATATTGGCCATTATTACTTAGGAAATTTTGTCATTTTTCGGTTAACTTTGTGGTAACTTTAACAACTGAGAATTTTGCATAAACCGAAATAAATGGTAACTTGATTGCACAAGGTTTAGGCTTTATGGTGAATGCATAAAAATTTTTAAATAAGGTTCCATTAACTTTCTATTAGAAGATGGCTTCTAATAGACAGTCGTTTTGTGAGTAGTTGCACACGTGATAACATATCCAAAACCATCAAACTCCCATCAAATAACCATGTTTGCCGCCTGAGGTTTGTGGTCATTTATGGAAAGTCTCCAACTTTTGACCATTATGATTTTTAGCGGACAGTCCCACATTTAATTATTTTTGATGGCCCGTAATATTTACGGGACCATTTAATATGGTCGCATAGCAAAAAAAGGTTCATAAATACTTGGTATTTAACTATAAGTTTAACTATAACATTTCTCAGAACTTATTACCACGAATTATTTATGGATCTTCTAATGTCTAATGTAGGTATATATTAATTAAAACTTACATTGTGATTAATCGAAAATTATGTGTATACCTTAACAGCTTCCAACAGAGCCCTATGCAGATACCTATTTTCTTCTCCATATATCTCGATTTAGTTTAATTTTTAATGTATCCAAAGAAACTATATCCGCATATATATCATCACATATATCATCGGCGCAATATACCGATGCGTGTGTGAAGAACACCGTGATGTTGAGCCTACACGGCAGGGAATCACGTAAAACTGTGGACCTTCATCCGCATATAGCGTTGAGGGAAAAATTGCGCAAATAGTTGACTATATTCAAATCCCTTGTCAAATCGGCGTGCCTTGGAAATCGAAATCGTATCAATAGAATTTACTTTTCTTTTATTAATTTTTTATATTATATGCCTTAATAAATATATTTAATATATAATATAGTTAATATTAATATATTCAATATATAATATATTTAATATTATAATTTATCATATATAAATTGGAAACTGTATGCTTTACTAAAAAGCTCACTTCCCAATCAAATAATCTACCTAACATTGTTTTTATATAATTATTCATATTTTTGTGTAATTTGATTCTTAATTGAAAGACTATTAGTTCAGAAATCTCCTAAGGCCAATGCCGTACTCATGTTCTAGACACAAAGCGACCGCAAGTTTTGAATATTTTTATTTGCGTGCCTCGCGTGTTTGTGGAACGTTTGTAGTTCACTACTGTTAAATTATTTCCTCTGACGAGACTAATGTGAACTTAGATACAAAAAACTGGACAGACAATACTCTAATCACCAAAATCAATGAATTATAAAATGTTTCCAGCTATTTAAGTAATTTGACATAATTATGTTAGTTTCATTCCCAAAGCAAATACTTTTTAATTTAAAATTAATATTTGACATTCGCCACATGAAAAATTCAATTAAATAATTTCATTTGAATGATTTTATTTAAATAATTTTAATTAAATATTATTTTATTTAATATAAAAAGTAATATTTATCTAAATAATTATATTTAAATAATTTCAATAAAATAATTTTATTTAAATTATTTTATTTATTTATATAATTCTATTTAAATAAATTTAATTAAATATTTTTTATTAAATACAATAAGTAATATTTATTTATTGATTTAAATAATTTTATTAAAATTTATTAGGACAATTCCAAGATGACTCGTGCGCTACAAACCCCCCAATACCTCTCCCACAACTTTGATGAATGCGA